GTTCCCTCTTTCCTACCCATTCTCCCTTTACCCTCCCTGTTTTGCCACTCACACCACTTGCCCTGTAGGGCATCTCCCTTCATCCACTTTTTGGTTGTCTGTCCCCCAGGGAGGAGGTCACACACAGTTCCATGTAATCGGTTCCCTCTTTTCATTGTTGTACATTTTCTTGACTAGATTTAGGGTTGCTGGGTAAGCCTATTTGAATTCGTTCAGACTTGATTTCCACGAACGAAGGAGAGGGAAACCTCTTCTGTGATTTGCTCCATAAATGTTTGAGTTCATTGAATGCCCCAGGTACTTTCTTCTTGACTTTGAAGACCGAGATCAACAAGATAAAGAAGGAACGTTTTAGGAGGGGGGACAGGAAAAGCTAAACATTATTGAAAATAAAAACTAAAGGAACTACTTTTCATATTGGGAAAATAGTCTTTTAAAATAGTCTGATTAAAGACACATTTTAATCAGCCACCGTTTTTGCTATTACTGAGCAGGCAGGTAAGACCTTAGAAGCCACCCTAGGACACTTAGTAGTAGAAGACCCTCTGGCTGTTTTCCAGTACTACTCTGCCCCAGAACAAATGACATAACTTGGACTTATTAATGCAATTAGATGAAAATGGCAGATCATAATTAGATGCTGTGAGTTTTTGGGAAGCTAGCTTTCAAATATTTTATGTTAGATTCATTGTAGTGGTACGTACTTCAAGAAATACTTTTTTTGTGTGTGAAGGCAGGGCTGCTAGACAGAAGAAAGCTGTTGTGGGCCATTCACCACTGGAAAGTAAGCACTGAACATTTCTATGAATGCAGATTGACAAAGCCTGAAAATCACTTGTTTATCTGAAATTTAATCAATAAGAAGTTGTCACTTATTATATTAGTTTAACCCAATGAAAAGGTGTACCTAGAAAATAAATTTTTCTCCCAAGAAAATAAAAATTAAGATGATCTTAGAACACTGTTTTAGATCTGATTTCCCCTCTTTAAACTTTCCCTTTTGCCTATCATGGGGTATTTTTATTCCTTATATGAACTAACTGCTGATTTTTCTCCTTACTACATAGAAAATTAAAAAGGATCCATATACAGCAACCATGGTAGGATTTTCAAAAGTCACAAACTACATTTTTGATAGTTTGAGAGGCAGTGATCCTTCTACACACCAGCGACCGCCTTCAGAAATGGCAGATTTTCTTAGTGATGCGATTCCAGGTCTGAAAATAAATCAACAAGAAGAACCTGGATTTGAAGTCATCACAAGGGTGAGTGGTGATGATGCTTTCACTTTAAACAGATGGACTGTACTAAATGCTATGGAAATATAGCTCAGTTTTGCTCTTTCCCTTAAAACTTTTAAAACTTTTTTGTTGACTGATATCCCTTATAGCCAGTACATATACTACTACCAAATGCTGATATTTTTCATTATTAATTACCCTTTTTTATTGTCGCATCATTTGCCAGTTCAACATTTTTAGGTGACTGAGGATAAGTCAAAAAACCGATTCGTACAAAATCATGGAAATCCTTGTTTATTACTATTATTATTTGATCTTTTTATTGTGAATTACGTGGAGTTTATAGAGTGCCCCTCATCCCCTCATGGCAACTCCATCACCCATTACATTTTCCTCCTTTTTTTTGTCTCTATTCCTCCTTCTCCCTTAACCCTTCTCAGCTTTGTCATTGGGTAAATACTGATCTCAAGTGACTGCTTATTCTGCACTGTGCACGTCTCCGTAGTGTGATTGTGCCCCTAGAGCCCTGCTTGTTGTTTGGCTAGTTTAGTTCCAGACCAAGGTCCTGGAAAGGCGACCAAGGGCCACAGTCTCCGGGGTTTCACCAATCTGTCTGACCAGCAGGCGTGGTCTCTTACATGATTTTGAATCCACAGTTTTTTTTCTCTATCCAGAAGCTTCTAATCTACTCCTGTTCAGAGAAGTTGGTAGTAGTAGGCAGGCTCCATATAGTTCTTCTGGTCTCAGGGTCATAAAAACAGATATTCATATATTGTTTGCATATGTCTTTGATTTTCATCACTTTTATTTTCTCTGGCCGGGGCGAAAAGAATAGTTTTCTAGTTTTGGGTGATACAGGAGTAGATGATAGCAACTTGCCCAGTAGGTGGGGGCTTCCTAAGGTATGGCTGGGCCATGTGGCATGGTTGTTGTGTTGGGTAGGATGAGGAATATCAACAAGAAAAAATACCATTAAAAAGAAAGAGAGAGAAAAACTAAACAACTTAAAAGAATAACAACAATAAGCACATAGGAAAACAATAAATAGCAAGGAAAAAAGAAATTTAATAACCAAAGAAAAAGGAAAGATGAGAAAGGAAAAATAAACACAAAACAAGGGAAGGGAAAAGAATAAAAAGTTTAAAAAGGAGAAAACTAGGGTAGAGGCAGGATCCAGAGGGTAGAAAACTAGTGGGTGGGCGGGTCCGGGCACTCAGTGTAGGTAGGTACCCTTTGCCAGCTAAAGAGCTCATAGAATGGAGGGTTGATTGGTGTTCTGGTCAGGGCATGTGATTCAGAAGTACCTCGTGCTAGCTCAGAGGGTGGCTGGCGTCAGGGTTTGAGTTATGGACTGAATTCTTTCGAGTCTAGGGAAGATTGGGAGGTAGGCAGCTGGCTATGGGAAGAGTTCATGCCCTCCCAGAAGTGGCTGGGTACCTGGCATTGCATGTTCTGCTGGTCCACTGAGGTGTACACAAGAGCACAATCCATGAGGGTGAGGCTCTTAGCCTAGGCAGTGCAGAGGCTCTGTTTCCTTCTCTCCAACCCTGCCCTGAAGAGGGTTATGTGAAACGGCAGTTTGGCCGTCCTTGAGGGACTCAACATTGTGTTTCTTGGGAATGTTCTTGGTGTTTGGAGAATAAAAACAAGTCTGAAGGGGCAAGATTGGAGCTGCAGGGTGAATGAGGTAAGGTTTCCCCATGAAATTTTTGTAGGACAATCCTTGCTGCCCTCAAAGAATGAGCAGATGTATTGTCAAGATAGGAAATCCTTTCTGGGCCCAACTTTCTGGGCCTTTTTCTCACTAACACGGTTTTCAGTTTTCTTAAAATTTCTCCCTAATAAATCCTTGTGATTATTTTGTGTCCGTTGAGAAAATTCATCTTTGGGATCCCAAAAATACAGTCATCACATTCTGAACTGAGTTCTCTTCCTTGAATTTAATTTGGCCCAGCAAATTCCAACGGAAGCCATTTTTCTATTGGTCTTTGATCTTTTGATCATACTGGTAAATCCAAGACTGGTCCTGAGTTCAGTTCGTTCTGTAAATTCCTTTTCGCTAGCTTGGTTGGGCAGATCAGCTCTTTGAGCTAGGTGTTCTTCATGCAGGTACCCATTATATCCAAAGCTTGTTTGAGGCCAAGGCAATATGCTTAAAATTGAAAACGTTGAACCCTGTGAAATTCCACTGTACGTTGCTCTCTCCTCATTGGCAGTTCTGTTTTATCAGGTTCTTGACATCAGCTGTAGTTTCCTCATCTGTGGCAGTTGATGGTCTTTCCGTCTTGGCTCATCTTTGAAGTCTTCTTGACTTTCCAAAAAACCTGATTCAGCTGAAACTCGCTTTATGTGAAGCAGCTCTGTAAACTGATGAATGATTTGTGAAAATGATGTAAATCATTAATGATTTGGGAAGATGCCTACTTTTGTTAAAAAATTGATACTAACCCTGATCTCAAAATTGTTTTTTTCCAAGGTGAAACCTGAAAGTCTCCTGTTTTTTTTTTTGAAGGCACCCTTTTTGAAGGCAGTCAGGCTTAAGACAAGTGTATTACTGAGAGAACTTGCCTGCAGCCATTCACTGATGAGAGACAAGCTTAAGCACATTTTGTTGGAATAAACTCATACATGTATGAACTAGAACCGTAGAGCAGCGGTTCTCAACCTGTGGGTTGTGACCCTTTTGGGGGTCGAATGACCCTTCATAAGGGTCGCCTGTTTTATAACAGTAGCAGAATTACAGTGATGAAGTAGCATTGAAAATAATTTTATGGGTGGGGGTTAGTCACCAGAACATGAGGAGCAATGAAAATTATGTTATGGGTGTGGGGGGGTAGTCACCAGCCAGAACATGAGGAATTGTATTAAAGGGTCACGTCATTAGGAAGCTTGAGAACCACTGACCTAGAGCAATACTTTTTACTTACCCCCCTGTAAGTTAATGATATCAATTATACTGATCATGTACAACCATCAACCATAATTATTGCTCTTTTCTGTTACTGTAAACAATGACTGCCCCACCATACCACTATTAAATTTGATTACTTTTTGATGATGATGAACGGCTTGTTGAGTGCGTAACAGTCAGTGAACAGTGCCTCTTTTTGCCTGTTGCTCCTGGTTCTTTTCTTAGTCTGCATGTTTTCTCCCTAAACACAAGGGGCGCCTCTGGTCAGGGCACTACTTTAGAGCTCCTTTTTTCAGTAAGTTGAATTTTGTTCCTGAATCATGGCAAATACTTCAGTAATACTTTAGGAATTTGCTACAATTCTGGGTTTACACATAGTCACAAACATGTAAGTACCTAAACTTTAGTGCTTTAATTAAAGGACTTAGCAAATGGTATTTTAAAATTACTAACATCTGTTAATTGAATCAGAAATTTTAGAAAATGCCAAGTGGAGCTAATGGATCATGAATCAAATCTAAAAAGTAACACATGTTTTTAATGTATGGGGTTTTTGGTCTCTGAATTTATAACCCAGTTATTGGTGTAGTTGGAGGAGAAAAAGTAATGCTAACTATTGTACTTCATAACAACTCAACCTTGTAAAACAAGCAAAGATATTAGAGATGTTAGAATGTATATATGAGGCATTTATAATTTTAGACTTGCTTTCTGGTTTTCTTGTCACCGATTATAAGTATACTTGTATTTGCCTCTCTTATTTTTAGATTGATTTGGGGGAACGACCTATTGTACAAAGGAGAGAGCCAGTATCACTGGAAGAGTGGTCTAAGAATATTGACTCAGAAGGAAGAATTTTAAATGTGGACAACATGAAACAGATGATATTTAGAGGGGTAATTTAAATAATATGGCTTATATATAAACTAGTATCTAGATTTTTTTTCTAAAGCATGGAATGAACTTTATTTCTTTGATGGATGATGTTTGGAGTGGGACAGAATGACGTGTTTATAATTTCCCTCAGGGTGGGGCCAGAGGTGGAGGAGATAGATGTCTGTTGACCTCTGGAAAGAGAATTCTTCCTCATTTGGAGTTCTATGAGTTATGCAAAGGATGCATACAGTGTAGTTGCCATATCCAGTAAGGTTGAACGTCAGAAGAATTTACCCATCCCATGGTCTACAGTCTGCTGTGTACTTTCCATTTTGAAAGTGCTCTGGCAGATGCGACCATCCTCAGAATCTGGAGATGTCAGTTACAAGATGAATCAATCCACTATTTATGCACAAAACTACCTCTTCTAACCTTTCTTGTGCATGATTTTTCAAATATGTTTTCTTTAGGGTCTTAGTCATTCATTGAGAAAACAAGCCTGGAAATTTCTTCTGGGATATTTTCCTTGGGACAGTACCAAGGAGGAAAGAACTCAATTACAAAAGCAAAAAACGTAAGTATGCTCTTTAGTGTGTTCATCAAAGAAATTCAGATAACTCACCGATAAAAATGAGTGTGGGGGGGAAAAATTAGTGTGGGATTTCTGATGAGGTTTTGGAATCAATGAGGGGGTGGGAAAATAATTTTATTTTCCTCTTTCTAAGTTAACACAATTAAGAGCATTGTAATTGTTTCAAACTAGAAACATTTATTAGAAGGACCTCATGTTGATCAATGTATAAACTGATGGTAACGTTCTTTATTAATCTTGTGTAATCCTTTTGCATACTTGGAAGATAGCCATGTTGATATAGATTTTTAAATATCTAATTTGTCTTGATTCATTCTTAAAATTTATAAAACTATAAATATGATTCATTGTTAAGTAAAATTTCCATTTAGGTTAGTTAGCTTCTAATCTCCCTAATCTTTGGGAGAGTGTTTGCATTTTAGCTCTTTCTCAAACAGACCTACTTTTCAGATATTCTTCTTATTCCTAGTTCAACAGTCTAGCCTATGATTTAAAGTCACTGCCAGCATTTAACACCCTAACAATCCTTATCTTCCCACCATGTTAACTAGGCCCTCTGAGACATTCTTAGATGAATACGTTTTTGTTACATACTGGTTGGAAAGCCAGAACTCATATGTTGCATTTAAAAAGGAAATTACATTTATATTTATTCAGTGTCAACAAATAAGGGTAAAGCAGAGCATTTTATTGAGGAATAGCAGTTCCAGCTGGGCATCATAAAGTAAAATGCGTTGAAATTGAAGGTGGGAGGAAATTTTTTTATCGAGAAATATTAGCAACTTTTATAGAAAACTTGTGTTTGGTTGATAATGATCTCATAGTTACAAACAATTATGAGGCATCTATTTTAGCATCTCTCTCTTTAATACTAGCTATTTCCATTTCTAATATGCTTTCCCAGATCACTTACCTCAAAAATTTCCCAGAACATTCTTCAAACTTACACTTTTGATTAAAGTTTGCACACTACCACATTAAAAAAAAAATTCCATTTCAGTGGTGAAAGGTCATGCAGTCATCAGAAAGAAACAAAATGGAATCAAATTCAGCCCTGGGTCAGCCAATTTAGTCATGCCAGGTGCCTCAGTTTTAGATTGCACTAACATATCAGAAAACTAGTGGTTAAAGTACTTAATGACCCAAATAATTTGAAGTGTAGTTTTAAGAATTGAAGTAAATGTTTACTATATAAAGTTTGTGACGTGCGTAAAATTGTATTTTTACCTTTGCTTTCTCTTATCAAAACTTTAAATATTTTATCCTATTTATAAACTTGCATCCAACTAATTTGATAAATGATTTTGATAATTTCTTATAGACAACACAGTGTGTTAGTAGAGTAGAATAGAGAAACAAATCCAGGGAGACTCTCCTGTATATAAGAAAGAGCTTTATATACAAGAGCAATTGAATATTGAGAAAATATCCCAGTCCAGATCAAGTCCATAGTCTGATATTAGCCTATACGTCCAATACCAATCTATAAAGTCCTTTTCAGACTCACAAAACACATGCAGTGATGCCAGCATAGTTCCATGTGTCTGGTCAGCTGCCATGTCTCCCAGGAAGTGAGCCAAGAGAGAGTTTCCCGCCTCCAAGGAGGAAATCCAGGAATTCCCAGAATCCTCAGGGGAAGGCCATGCCCACACAGAGGCTTCATTGGCTATACAATGATTGATTGACAGGCTAGACTCCACCCCTTCACTCTTAATCCTCTCAAGTCCCTAACTGACACCAAATTATGTAGCTACCATACTTGGTTAAAAATGAAGTGGTACTACAATGTCATCTTTTTGGTTTTCTTTTTTAGGGATGAATACTTTAGGATGAAACTACAGTGGAAATCTGTCAGTGAAGAACAAGAGAAGAGGAATTCAAGGTTAAGAGATTATAGAAGTCTGATCGGTAATTTTTTCTCAAGAATTTTGCAGGGATTTACACTTAGGTCTTCTTGATAAATACGAGGCATGGAACCGTTTTTCAGTAAACAGTTTCGCCTTTGGTCTTGGTTCCTGAGAGTAGCAGGACAGCCCCTACAAGCAACAAATAGGAGCCTAACCAAACCAAGAGGGATCGCCTGTGTCCAGTGCTGACGAAGCCTTAGGAGGCATGATGCCGTCTGAAGGGCTGTGTGAAGCCAATAAAAGGCCTTGGGAGACAGGCTCATTGGAGCTTCCTGTCTGGAGAAAGCAAACCTGCTTTAGAGAAGGTGGAGGATGGACGCTCCAGCAGGAGACCTACTAGGGATGCTGAGGGAGGAGGAGGCATAATATTTGCATTACTTTTTCCTTCTTGATTAAAGATTGACCTTCCTCTGTAGTTTTTGAGTTTCAGCAGATTATGGGAACCAAAAAACCCAAGGGCTGTTAGTCACCCAGCTCTGGGAGAATGGGGTTGAGAGAGAGGTCTGTACTGACACTGAGGGTCAAAACTGATCAGGGAAGGGAAGCTGAGATTCCCCCAGTGGTTTGAAACAAAAGAAGTGTATGTATACTGCAGAGTTTGTGCTCCAAAGAAATCAGAATTGGAAAGTACATTGGGAATGTGTGTTTATATTCTTAGTTGTTTCTCTATTGATAAGATTAAAAATCCATGGAGTATTTTTAGAATTACTGATATATTTAATTTTCACTTTCAATAAGTGAATTAAAGAATTGTCAAAAAGACATTCGACCTCATTAGAAAAGCATTTGTTTTATTACAGAAAAATAAGAATGATAGGTAAGCAAAAAGGAGTAAAACTGAATTTTGTTCACATCACCCAGAAGATAACTATGTTAGATTTTGGGTTATAGTCTTTCCAAACATACATATTTTTAAATATTTAAACATATAAGTAGATAGATTATTGTAGTAAATTATTGTAGTGAGTAGTAAATTATTGTCAGTGTTTAAAAATGGAATAGCTATTTACTTGGTGTGATCATTCAATGACATATACTAGTTAAATAAATTTACATAATTGGTCATCCCGAACAGAGATGCTTAATATGTTTTAATTGGTTTTAGCATTAGACTTATTTCAAATAGTACTGGTTTGTGAGATTCTGCCAAGACCAAGTTAATAAGTTACTGAAGGAATCAATAATCCTCATTTTTATTATATATGATATTAATACATATATTCTTTATGATTATATTAATCTTTAGATTATCCCCGTGCCTACACATGAAGCCAGTGTTATTGTGTACTCCATTACTTTTGGGAGTACCCAGTTACATCAATATGTTTCTATCTGATAGGTCTCACTTTAGTAATCAGTATCATTAACTTGAGTATTGAGAATTCTCGTAATATGAGAATGAGAAAAGTGGTAATAATGTGTTACTCTTTTTGGATTTAGATCATATGAGCCTCATGATTTCATACTAGTGTAATAGGTCAGTGCTAAAAGGAGACTTAGTATCAGGGAGGTTAGGGTCTAATTTGTGCTGTACTCATACCTTGTCTCCTTGGACACATTTAATGTTTTTAAACTTCATTTTTCTTAACACCTCAAATGAAATAATTAATGAAAAGTTTTGATTATTTCTTAGTTGGGATTTAATACATATATCATTCCATATATCAATCACATCATTTGGCACCACAATGAGTTTCCAAATATATATTTTTCTACATGTACTCCTTGAAAAGTTTTATTTTTTTTTACATAAATAATATACTCCTATTCAACAGGAGCTTATGGAAGAAAATGTTTAACATATTTGGAAAACCCAAAATAATATGTAGATCTGGTGGTTTTTGTATACAGAGACAAATGCATAGGTTGATTTCAGTAGGAGAAGTGATAATGGACATGAAGCTTTTTTCCTGCTGAACACTGAACTGGAAAGAGATCTTAGAGATCCAGTATATTAAACTTTTACTTACTGTTTTTTCTCTGAATTGACATACTTCTGTTTGCTTCATACATCAAGCAATAGTGGTGATAGCTCACATCTTGTTGACTTTTGCTGTGTGTGTCATATTTTTACTGCTCAGGATATTGGAGGAAAATCTGAGCTGCTTCTATTGCTATAATATAATTTGAATCGAATCATATACATCAATCTGAGAATGTTTTAGCAAATGATAAAAGTGACGGTCAGAAGTATTTCGTAAATTATCTTAGATTGTCTCTCTAATTAATATAGCCCAGACTCATTTATACTCAAATTGAGTTCAGTGATGCACTTTCACACTTTCTATCAAAATAAGTCATGTGTAATATGTTACTGATAATTATTACATAGAAAAGTAAAGTAGGGAAAGAGGAAGTTTGTGTGGAGTGTTGTCGTTTCAACTTAAGTGACCAGGAAAGAAGGCTTTTATTGAGATACTTGAGTAGAGAGTTGCAAAACAAGAGAGTGAATCCTGCCAGCATATCTATATGAAAGATAGTTCATGCACAAGCAACAGCACATGCTTCCGTGCTTCCACTTCAGGACCTTTGCATATTATAAGTGTATAGCAAGGAGGGGAGTGTGACTGTAGTGGAGTGAGTTGGGGTGACTACAGCATCTGTGAGATCAGAGTGGCAATAGTGGATGGGTAGGTCCAGGTCACATAGAGCTTTGTAGATCATTGTAAAGACTTACTTTTCTCTGCACTAGATGAAAGCCACTGGAGAATTTTGAGCAGAAGAGTGATATAATCAGATTTCTGATTTAACCGGATCACTCTGGCTGCTATGGAAGATAGTAGGAGGGGAGAATAAGGGTGGGAGTAGAAAGACCATTTGGAGCTATTACAATCATTCAGGTGAGAGATGACGGCTGCTTGATCCAGGAAATGCTGGTTGGGTGGTTAAGATGTGAATATAAACTTGAAGATTTGAGGAAAGTATGACATTCAACTTTTGGGTGAAGGTTATTCTGGGAAGATGAAGGTTTGTTTCTGCCTTGGGACCTTACCATGGTTGAAGAGCAAGGAGAACCAGTGTATTAAGAATGCACTGAGGGGGAGAGAGGGGAAAAATGAGGAGCTGATGCCAGGGGCTTAGGTGGAGAGCAAATGTTTTGAGAATGATGAGGGCAATGAATGTACAAATGTGCTTTACACAAGTGATGTCTGTATGGATTGTGATAAGAGTTGTATGAGCCCCTAATAAAGCAATTAAAAAAAAAGAATGGACTGAGGAGGGTGGGGGGAGTGGGGAAAAACAAGCAAACATAAAAGCTGGTACCAAGGGCTCAATAGAAAGTAAATGTCTAGAAGAGAATGAGGGCAACATATGTACAAACATGCCTAATTCAATTCATGTATAGATTGTGCTAAGAGTTGTACGAGCCCCCAATAAAATGATAAAAAAAAAGAATGGACTGACTCAGATTTGGAGGTGAAATGAGTCAATGGGAGACCTAACTGCTCATTTCTATGTATATTTTGGAGGATTAACTGATGAATCAGTGCCACAGGAGAGAAGAAGCAATGACTGACGGATGGCACCAAGAGGCTGAGAAACTGAAATAATAGAGTTGCTATTTTCTAAGGGACAGACCATGAGAAAAGCAAGTTTGGAAGGAAATATTTGGGACTACAGTGAAAATAGATGGGGTTTAGAGGTAAATTCAGTGGAGGAATAGGGGTTATTATCAGCATTTAAATAATGTAAAACTATGACCTAAAAAGTAGATGAATTTGTCTAGGGAGTGAATACACATATAAAAGAAGAGGTTTAAGAACTAAAGTCAGAGACACTTTACCATATTACAAAAACCCAACCCAACCCGGTTTACAGAAAGGAGATTAAGGAGCAGTCATAGTGAAGAAGAGTGTGATGTCCTTGAAGGGTCAAATGAAGAAAATATTTCAGGAAGAGCGAAGGGATCAAACAGTGCTCAGAAATCAAGTAGGATGAAACTCGGGTCGACTGTATCAGGAGATTTGGATAAAGAGAGGAGTGTTAGTGGAGTGCATATAGTTCTTTCTGGTTCTGCTCTGAAATGTTGGGGAGAAATAAGCTATAAAATATAGAGAGCCAAGAGGAGCCATTTTGCTCATTCAGAACCTGCCCATGGACAAAGAGGCAGTCATGAGCAGAACAGAAGAATATTGCATAGGTTAAAATCAGAAAAGCATGCATCAGGGTTGTATTTTTTCACTGTACTTATTTAATATATGCTGAGTAGATAATTTGAGAAGCTGGACCATATGAAGAAGAACTGACATCAGGATTGGAGGCAGGGTCATTAACAAGACACAATTTTGCTTGCTGAAAATGAGTATTTGAAACACTTGCCGACGATCAAACACTGCAGTGGATTACAAATCAATGAAAGAAAGCCAGAAACCCCACAACTTGGCCAATAGATAGCTTGGTTAATGGAAAAAAGATGGAAGTTGTCAAGGATTCATCTTGCTTGGATCCACAATTGGTGCTCATGGATGCAGCAGTCAAGAGATCAAATGACACATTGCACTAGGCAAATCTGCACAAGACCTGTTTAAAAGTGTTGAAGATGTCACACTGAGGACGAAGTTGTGCCTGATCCAAGCCACGGTGTTTTCATTTATCTCATATATATGTCAAAGTTGGACAATGATTAAGGATGGCCAAAAAAAGAGTGAATGCATTTGAGCTGTAATAGTGGTGCAGAATGTTGAATATACCTAGCCTGTCAGAAGGACAGACAAATCTGTTTAGAAAGATGTACTTCCAGTATGCTCCTTGGAAACAAGGATGGGAAGACTTTGTCATACCTACTTTGGTAGTGTTATCAGGAGAGACCAGTCCTTGCAGAAGGACGGACATCATGCTAAAAAAGTAGAAGGCCAAAGAGAAAGAGGAAGGCCATCAATGAGATGGATTGACACAGTGGCTGCAGCAGTGGGTGCAGACTTAACCATTGAGTGAGCATCGAGCAGGACCAGATTTTGCAAGTATAACCACTATGATTCACAACCAAAATGAGAGAAACCAGTGTGGCTGAGTGCTGATGGGAATGATCCAGTAGAAAGGAAATGTAGAGAAACTGGAGTAGGGAACCAGAGTACTAGAGCAAAGTGAGGATGGATTCCCCGCACAAGGGAGAGTTGGTCTCAACCAAGATCATGGAAGCAGATTTATTAGGGGTAGACGAGAAGGGTGACTGGGAACAGGTATCATGGGAATCGGTTGGAAAGTCTCTTTGGATAGCTGCCTTTTTCTCAGAAGCAACATTCATCTGTCAGCTAGGATACAAGATGGAAGTTGAAGTTGGAGGCTTGAGAGATAAGATGCAAGATAGTTGCATGAATAAGGAGAGTGAATGGGTAAGAGATATTGAGCATTACTGGAAAGCACCATTAAGGGCCCCTTTGAGGTGAGATCAGTCAGGATGATTATGTTTTTTTCTTCAGTCTCTTTGCTTATTATCTGTATCAAGTTAGATGGGAAATTATATAAAATTAGACTAGCACTCTTTTTCTATTTTAAACTTAAGTATTTTCTTTTTAGAAATAGTTCCCTTATAATGTGTTGTAGTTAGTTGCCATTAGTTGATACTGACTCTTGGGAACCACATGTTTTCAGAGTAGAACTGATCTAAGGATATTTCAAGATGTGATCTTTGGAAGCAGATTACTAGGCCTTTCTAGGTTTCTTTGAGTGGATTCAAACTGCCAACTTTTTGTCCAGTATAGAGTGCTTAACTCTGTTCACACCACTAGTAACCCTTTTCCTTTAATCTTGCCTGCATTTTTATATATTATTTTTGACTGCTTTTGGTTTTCTACATAACTTGTCATTACTAGATATCTATGAGAGAAAAGAAAAGGGCATGACTGGGAAGGCACTATGGAATAGGAAGGAAGTTGGCACAAAGTAATGGAGGCAGGGAAGACACTGGGAGGAGTGTCAGAATGAAAGATGACTGGTAAATACTTGTTATACACATAGTTCTGCAATAACTGTACAAACAGATGGATAAACATGCAGACTGAACAGAGGTGGGAGGGAGAATAAGAGTATACCCTTACATACATATACGTTTAAAAGAGGATATTGTATATATGTATTTAATTTTGTTGCAAACATATCCGCGAATGTGGTGGAGCATAGAGGGGCAAAGATATGAAAACACCTTAGGCATAACTGAACACCTTGAGGGAATGAATCATTGGGTCTAAGAGCTCAGTATCATAGTCTTGGGGCTATTGACATGACATAATTCACAAAGATGTACATCCTATATAGGCAGGTAGTGACTGGAGTCTTAAAAGCTCATGAATGACCCTGTATGGTGCACCTATTGGTCTCTCCCTGTTTGAAGGAAAGAAATGCAATGGAAATCAAAAGACACTGGAGACCACTAGTCCAGTGGATTAGTAGAGCGTAAATATGTGGCTCTCTAGACCAGAAGCTAGAACTAGATGGTGTCTGGCTACTTACCACTACCGACTGCTCTAAAGGGAATGATCACATAAGAATGCCCTGAGTAGACTATGAGAAAAATGTGGAATAAAGCTAAAAAGCATATAGAGCACTAGTCTTATTGGTCAGATATAAACTGGTAAGGTGGTGGTACGAAATTTCCCCCCCACCCCCTACCACCCACCAAGATTATGGTCTTTAGCTTTAGTAACCTTTCAGTTCTGGTATTGAACTAACTGCCGTGGCTCAAATGTTCAGCTAAAAATACACAATAGTCTCTAAGGAGACCATTAACACTAGAGAGATCTGCATACCTTGGAATAATTAGCCATCTGAGATCAAAAGGGCAATATTTCCCCAACGATAAAGTTTAGTGTATTAGGAAAGAAATAGGTATGGAAACAGGAAACCTGCAGGAAATAGAGTAAATATTGGTACATTGTGGGAATTACAATGAATGAGATGACAAAAAAAGTTTATGTATTGTTGAATGTAAAACTGATGGTCTGTTACCTTACCCAGTTAAAAACAAAAGTTAAAAAAATCTGTTGAGCCTATGGTATCTAGTGGACCCAAAATTCTAAATTGACATTAGCTAAATTGTACTTGAGTTAAAAAAAATAGCTTACTATGAATTTATTAGCTATTAAATGAGTTTGGGATACTTTTATTTTTTAAATGAAGATTTTACATTTATAGTATGAATTTTTTGCAAATTTGTTTCAAAGGTCTTTCCACAATTCTATAGATCTGTGCTTGCTTTTTATTAAATCCTAACAGAAAGCTAGAATACCATTCTAATGATGCAAAGGATACCCTTACAGAATCTAAACTGCTTGGGCCATCTTTCTATAACTAGTTTTCAAATTATTTAGCTTAATTTTTAAACAATTGCTTATAGAGTATATTTGTGCTTTCTGAGTTTTCAAGTTATTTCTTCGTAATTTACTGAGGAATTCAAGTTTGGAGAAATCCCTTTGTAGTTAGAAAGTCTTTCGCAACAAAGTGTACCTAAACCCTAGTAGACAAGAGATCCATGTTTGTGGATTTAGTTGTTGATATAACTGTGAATATTCTTATGGTGGTATTTTGAGATTTTTTCTAGATGTCATGAAATAACATAAATTACTTACAAGATATAAATTGAATTGTGAAATGAATGTGTGAAAATAAGGAAGTAATTTGTCTTGAAGATGATTATGGAACATAACAAAGAAGTTTGTAACACTTCTCAAAATAAATGAAGCAGTTTTTAATGAAACATCTCTTTGATTATGCTTGATTGCATAGTAGCTTTTCTCATTATTATTTTCAAGCAGCACTGCTTATCTCTTGGATTCCTAACTGGCATTTTTAGCATTGACTAATAAGTATTATTTAATGTTACTTGTACTTTGACTTTTGGTGGTACAGTGCTTAAAATGTTTGGCTGTTAACCAAAAGGTTGGCAGTTCAAAACTAACCTTGTGAAAAAAATGTGTCAGTCTACTTTTGTAGATTTACAGCCTTGCTGATTATCTGGGGAAGTTGTACCTTGTCTTAGAGCAGTGGTTCTCAACCTTCCTAATGCCGCGACCCTTTCATACAGTTCCTCAGTGACTGACCCCCCAATCATAAAATTATTTTCATTGCTAATTCGTAACTGTAATTTTGCTACTGTTATGAATCGTAATGTAAATATCTGATATGCAGGATATATTTTCATTGTTACAAATTGAACATAATTAAACATAATTAAAGCATAGTGATTAATTACAAAACAATATGTAATTAGATATTGAGAAATACTTATGTGTTTTCCAGTGGTCTTAAGCGACCCCTGTGAAAGGGTCGTTCGACCCCCAAAGGGGTTGTGACCCACAGGTTGAGAACTGCTGTCTTAAGGTCACTGTGGTTCAGAACTGACTGTAAGGCAGGGGCTTGAGTTTGGATTAATTCATGGAAATGCTTTCTACCATTTAACTAAAAGATTTTCACGTTAGATAAAAATGGAAAAAAAATGCTTTAAAATCTGCCTAAGGAGTAGTTTGACTTTAAAAAAATGTACCAGACTGGGAGGGTGGAGGGAAAGTGGGGTAGAAAGGGGGAACTGATTACAAGGATCAATGTGTAACCTCCTCCCTGGGGGACGGACAACAGAAAAGTGGGTGAAGGGAGACATCAGACAGTATGAGATAAGACAAAATAATAATTTATAAATTATCAAGGGTTCATGAGGGGGTGGGGAGCGGGGAGGAAGGGGGAAAAATGAGGAGCCAATATCAGGGGCTCAAGTAGAAAGCAAATGTTTTGAGAATGATGAGGGAAACAAATGTGCAAATGTGCTCAACACACAATGGATGTATGTATGGATTGTGGTGAGTTGTACAAGCCCCCAGTAAATGATTTTTTAAAAATGCACCAGATAATTATTTCATTAGTAATTTGATAAGATTAGAATTTGATAAGATTTTTTTGTTTGTCAAAGGAGTGAAATTAATAACAAGAAAAATAATCCTCTGTGTAAGATTTGAGCTTTAAATATATTTGCTTTTGAGGTTTCTCAAATATGTGGTTTGTCTTTTTAGAGAAAGATGTTAACAGAACAGATCGAACAAACAAGTTTTATGAAGGTCAAGAAAATCCAGGGTTGATTTTGCTTCATGACATTTTGATGACCTATTGTATGTATGATTTTGATTTAGGTAAGTGCTCCTCTAAAGTCTTAATTTTCAAAGGTTAATATGAATTTTGTTTAGAATTTAATTTTAACCAGTTAGACATATATAGTGATTTGTAAGGGTTGTTCTTCAGTGGACTGGAAGCTTCTGTTCCCACATTGTGCACCGAGGGGCCTGAGAATGCTCCAGCAGATCCACCGGAGCTTTATGGGGATTTCAGTGAAATATAGTGACATCTTTAGGACACGACTCTGATTACTAGCTGAAATAGTTCAGAGCTTCAACATTAGATTGCTACTTTTTTTGAATCAAGTTACATCTTTTGTCAAGCTTGGTTTTGGGTACTGTGCTCATAAGCAAGCACTGTATGAAAGTACATGAGGACCTGAGAATGATGGCGGCTGTGCTAGTCTTAGTCCAAAGTTTGAGTAGTCATCCAGCGAAGTTGTTTGAGCCTATTATGAGTTGATTCCAGCTCATGGTGAGCCAGAATGACGGAGAACTGATTAATAGGATTTCCTAGGCGGTACTTTTTACAGAAATAGATTGCCAGGTATTTTTGTTTTGTGGAGCTGCTGGTGGGCTCGAACCACTGACTTTTCTGTTAACAGCCATGCATTTAACTGTTGGGCTACCAGGGTTGTTAGTAATTTCTTTGGGCCTCAAGAAGTCTTGGGAAAAAATTAGAGTGTCATAGATTGTGAGGATGACAGAGAAAAGTGGGCAGTGTTTTGTTCTGTTGTATATAGGCTCACTATGAGCTGGAACTGACTCGATGGTAGCTAACAGCAGCCAAAGGGTGTTGTGAACTTGGGAACTTTTCCTAAAAACTTGGGAACATATGATAACTTTCTCCATATGAAGAAAAATACCAATTTGATTGTGCTGGTAACAGTGTCAGTAGTTCAAAGCCGCTAGCTCTTCACTGGGAGAAAGATGGAGTTTCATATTTCTGTAAAATGTTAAAGTTTCGGACACCCACAGGGGTAATCTACTCTAACCTATAAGTTCACAGAGTCAGAATTGATTGGATAGCAGTGAGAGTATATCTTAAATACGAGCAATGCTAGTGTTGTCTAAGGCAGGGGTCCTCAAACTATGGCCTGCAGGCCACATGCGGCCCACCAAGGACATTTATCCAGCCGGCTGACCGGGTGTTTTAGCCCTGTTTTGTTTTTTTACTTCAAAATAAAATATGTGCATAGGAATTTATTCATAGTTTTTTTTTTAAACTATAGTCCAGCCCTCCAACGGGTCTGAGGGACAGTGAACTGGCCCCCTGTTTAAAAAGTTTGAGGACCCCTGGTCTAAGGTATATAGAAATGGTTTCATAAGTAGACTTTTAGATTACTTTAAGGGAGCTTATGACATTTTTTGGAGATGAGTGAGTAGTGCTCAGCACAAAACACCCAAGGCAACCTTGGGTGATGGGTGATTCCATGTTCTCTCCTGTTGGTGTCTAGTGACAATAAATGCATCCATCATACCTAGGGTAGAAGTTACATTTTCAGCCATATTTTAAAGCCGTTCCTCTGACAGTCTGGTTTTAAAATTAATAAAGAAGGCAAGTCTGAGACTTGTTGCTACATACAAAATTTATTGACTGCTTATATGTAAGTTAGGGGAAGATGTAAATTCTTTTGCACATCTCAAGGTAGCATCCTCTTCAGTGACAGTACTAGGATAAGTCAAATAGTATTGCCACCAAAGGTCCAGTGGACACATGAACAGTTTTTTTTCCTAAACCATGTTCAAACATGTCTCTATCATCAGTTCTCTCAGTAATACACTTATTTTCGACTCCTGGTGGTGTGCTGGTTATGAGTTGGGCTGTGATCGGAAAGGGCAGCAGCTCGAAACCATCAGGCATCAGGCACACTGCGAGAGAAGAGTTCGTCTCAGAAACTGACAGGGATAGTTCCACCTTGTCCTATAGGGTTGCTTTCAGTTGACTCGATGGCCATGAGTTTGGAGTCTGAGTGGCATTAGGGTGCCGTTAAAAAAAAATGAAGGCTATTTTGTTCAATGGGAAAAAATGATTTTGAAATCAGAGCTAATGTTAAATTTTAATAAAACTCAAATCGATATCTTCCCAAATTGTTGAAGCTTTGCTATAGGTTTATGGAAATGCTGCCTCACATAAAAGTAAAGTTTTTAGATGGTGTATTAGTCTAGGTACTTTGGAGAAACAAATCGACAGCGACTCATGTATAAGAGAGTTTTATGTAAAGAAAAGGTGCATCACGAAAACATCCCAACCCAATGCTTCCCAAGCCCACAAGTCCAACATTAACCCATTAAC